ACAGTGCGTGATTATTTAATTAAATTGCAGCCTTTGCTTTTTTTATTTCATACTTGCACTAACCATACATACTGTGATTTCGGTTTTATTGCAATGAAATATGCAGCCGCAATTACTGAAGTACTATTTGAGGCAGTGGTGTACGCCAGTCTCTCTCTAATACCAGTATAAGAAGTAACTGTGCCTTACACACGTACACACTCATTTTGGCCCTCTGTCCCATGTCAATTTTTAATGAGAGTGAATTTTTCATCTAGCCAGCAGCAGATACTCAACTAGGAGGGTGGGTTCAGCAGAAACACAATTAGGGATGCTCCGATCCGCCTTTTTCGCCTCCGATACAGATTCCGATACCTAGGGTTCAGTATTGGCCGATACAGACACCGATCCGATACCAGTGAAGTTTTTTCCCTCATTTAAATAAATGTCGAATTTATATGTCTCTGTGTGTGGAACTGATAATGATTATTTCACAATCTACTAGATACAGACTACTTCATCATTATAAAGAAAAATAAAATAAACAAATATGAAAAAATATAGGCCTATGTATATTTATAATCTATGACAAAAAATTAGAAACTAGGTTAGTGGATAATTCGGCAGCAAAAGTTATTCTAGAAAAATCAGTGCACAATAATTTTAGAAATCCAGACATTTAGTGAAAACACAATATTTTGTGTGGAACAAATAAAAGTGTTGCACTAAATATGGTAAAATGTTACACATTGCTATTTGTATTATTATAAAATCCATTCATTAAAAACATTCATGAATGTATTTATATATACGTTTATACTATAAAATTAAAAATACATTTCTTTTAAATGTATAGCATATTGTTTAATAAGGCAACAACATATGATAGATACGATAGGACAAAACAAATACAGTGCAGCACAAACTGTTTTTATACAGTCAACCCTCAACGGACACCTTGGCAATTTAATCGCCATTGGCTAGTATATTTTTTTGTTTACTCGCCAGACTGAAATACTATACTATATATATATATATAAGTTATGCCATTTTACAAACATATATAATGTATGTAAATATAAGATATTAATATTATACGAATTCTACTAATAAGAACAATAAAAACACTCTAAGGATTAATGAGCTACTGGATTCATGAATATTAATCAGGTTGTGTGCATTTGCTCGAACTGATTCGCTGAAATCAAAACAGGGACGATAATAGGTGAGCGCCAGCCAATGAGATTGTTGTTTACTCATTAGTTCCGCTCAGCCTCCAACTCACACACTGGCGAGTAAAATCTGAGAATTTATTAACCATTGGCTGATATTAGACATAATTTAGTCGCATATGCGAGTGATTTACTCGCAATATAGAGGGTTGACAGTCTATGAGCACGAAGCCGCTTCGTGTTAAAAAGTGCAAAGCACAAAGGGAAGAGAAATTGATGCGTAGTGTATTATATATGTGCAACAGTTATTGAGCCTTTCTTTTAACAGTTTTACATTTCAGTTACTGTGCACGTTAAAAATTATTTATAGTCTTTTCTACGCCCGTGTTTTGTTCTCACAGACATCCGGTAGCAAGTAACAAAACCACATTAAACTCCGGCAAGAAGATAAAGTCCTTTTTGCAAAATCATAGACATGTATTTACAAATCAAGTATAATAGAAACACAGAATGATCTTGCAGAGAGCTTTACCGAGCTGACTGCTGTAACCGAATGCGACCAGGGTTTAAAGGCTGAACGAATGACTGACAGACACAGCGGAGAAAAGAGTTTGTGTGAACTTTAATGTAAGGACATAAATATTCATATGTAGCTCACATTAAGCTATCTTGTGGCTTCAGAAGTAACACAGAATAATTCGAACAATCGGAGAGAAAAAAAGAAAGAAAACAAAAATATCGGATTTGGATCGGCTCTCTGATCGATACCCGATCCGAGAAAAATGGCACTATCGGAGCCGATACCCGATATGAATATCGGATCAGCACATCCCTAAACACAATATGAAGTTAATGTTTCATTCTAAGACAGAGAGAGGGTGAATGAGGGAAGGTATCCTCCATGATCCCTGCTGTAAAGAGGAGGGAGGGGGTCACCAGGATGTGGGGAGGGGCGAGCAGAAGCTTTCTGTCACGTGTGTCACTACAGGAATGAAGGCTGGACTTTACATGCCTGTACACACACATGGGAGGTGGTGTCTCAAAATGTAGTAAGCTGACTACTTACCATTTTTGGGCATCACAGACTATTTTACATGTTTTTAATGGTCATTTTGTAGGTGGAGAGAACTGCATTTTATTGAAATTGCATGCATTGATATATCATGCATAAAAGAATGTGACTTTTTTTTATAAATATGTTATTATATTAAAATATATTTAATAAGTTGTACAACTGATTCACAAGTTACAGATTCTTAAAAATGTGGCAAAAGGGGGTTTTCAGAGCAATGCCATAGAAAAACCATTTTGGTTTTGGACTGTAGAATAAGTTTCCTTGGATGTTAAATAGAGCCCTGCACGGGCCTCAAATTTAGGCCCTAGCCCGGCCCTGGCCTGAGACGCTCAGGCCCTAGCCCGGCCCGGGTCCGACAGCTCATCAGAATTCTTGGCCGGAATCCGACCCGAGGCCGTCTCTCCCCTACAAAAACAGCTTATACTACTGTTTCAGCTATTAAAATAGTTCAGTTTTGTATGTAATGTCAAAGTGATAATATTTAGTTTAGTTTTTTTTATTAAGTTAATGTAGAAAAACGTTTGACTTGACAAGACTTGCCTAAAATAAAATCTATAGATATAAAACAGTTCAAGCATATCATAATGTTAGTTTAAATGTTTAACCTATATAAATGTGCGCTATTAGACACATATCTAATCGTTTGTGCGGAGAGCTAAAGCGTGCTGTACAGGACATGGAGGCGCCCGGCGCGATCACTTGCATTGGAAACAACTTAAAATATGCCGTCATTTTTGCTCATAAAGGTAAGAGTAATACATCATTCGGAACTGTAAAGGGTCTACTTTTTATTTGTGTGCACTCACAATATCAACAAAACGTTGTGCTTTTGTAAAATAAAGGATACATATAGGATGCGCTTTCTGCAATTTCTGCCAGGAGTGCTTCACAATGATGAACCGAAACTCAGCGAATACTTGACTCACTGACTTGCTAAATATATCTATAGAAAGCTTTAAATTACTACTTTAAAACTAAATAAAACAAATCGAAAACAAAAACTCTTTAATTATAAAATCCGTAAAGATGCACTTCTCTCTAAAGGCACGTCTAATGAGGAGATGGCGAGTCAGGATCGTCATCTTCATCGTTTATTTTTAATTTACTGTTGAGAAAATAGTATGACTTAAATATTGGTGCAACTTTAAATGATTGCTGAAATTATGTGTCTTGTTAAAGAGTAAGATTCATTTTCAAATGGTCAGACTAATGATTTGGATTATAACAGATGAGAAATTCCATAGACTTGCATAAAAGGAGGGCATCTTTGACTTGGGGCCAGTAAAAGGATGTTTACACCAAGTATGATAACTATAACTATAAAACATTTTCTCTTTATGACTATAAAAGGGGCAGACCACAAAACTGCAGCACACGCTTATAATAAACATATATAATTATCGTTCTAGTTATTTTTAGTGTGAAAATGGCCCTTGAAATATCTGAATGTCAAACTACTTGTGCACTTTGTTTGGTGTTAAATTGTTTTATTTGTATCCATTCATTGGTCATTGGGTAACTTTAAGGACAGCATTCCTATAAAACAGCCCTGTGAGGTTATTGTTGATAGGGGTAATGGAATAGGATGTTGCTTTAGCATTGGCTTTTTTTTCTTTAGCTTAGCCTGCACATAACAGGGGGGTCCAGATGTGAAATCTGTCCTGACAGGTCTGTTCTTCAATTTTTCTCTTCCAAACACACTCATTAGAGCCTCGCAACCCCAGTCATGGTGAGAAAACCACAAGAGGCAGGCAGAGTCAGTAAATCATTTCTCGTATGAATCCACATTATGAAACCCGCTCCTGTTACTGCACGTTGCTCAGCACTGGGGTTGTGCAATGTGCTCTGGCTGACTCACTCACGCTGATGATTCCCACAGCTCTCAGCACCAGATCTGTGCGTTTCAAATCATTAGCTGGGCGCTTTCTTTACACACTTTAAAAGTGTTGTGTGCAGGATTGTATTAGTCAACAGATGGACGTTGTCCAGTGCAGGAACTGTTTTTCCAGTTGGAAAACAGCTTCAATAATAGTACCAAACACTCAGTGTGGCTTGTTTTTTAAAAACCAGTTCTCCAGCCTATCATGCTACGCCCCCGGTGAAAGAGGAGACTTTGACCAGCCAGAAACATGCTGTCGTTACAACACGCTGCATATGTTGAAAACATCCAGCAGCTCAAACACATGTTCTCCCACTTGTCTCAGTGTCTCACAAACACATAAACGTCCTGCGCGCCAGCTCCGCTTTGAATCACATGGCAGTGGGTTGTTTCACAGTTGAGGACAATAGCGGGACTGAGACGTAGTTTTAACGCCGTGACTGTGAGGAAGACTGGACATTCAGTGGGTCTGCAGTGACCACGTCTGTCCATGAAATCAAACCAAAATGAGGTCATTTAAGGCCACTGAGCTTCTATGGCTGTGAAATTACACTGAAAGTTATGGAACTGTTTTCTGTAACAGCAAGTTGTTATCAGCTTGTCTGGTAAATATTGGTTGTGCTTAAAAATGTCAGCAGCAAACAACATCAAAGTTGAAATTGTTTGGCAATTACAACATGGTGCACAAACACTTGCTAGATCTTGATGCTTCCCTCATTAGAGTTCAGTGCAGTGGATAACTTTAGTGTGAACCATGTGAAAGTCCTTAATGTTCCATATCAATGCTGTTCCCACACCACTTGTATGCTTGTATGCCTTTTACACCATTAGGTTAACGTAGGCCATGCAGGACGAGTGCTCAGAGTGTGACCCCTTCTCTTTGCTCTTCCTGCAGGTGTACGTTGAGTTTGACGACCTTGAGTGGGATAAGCGGGAGTGGGTCAAGGTGTATGAAGACTTCCAGATCTTTCTGCTGGAACATCAGCTGGTTTGGGTCAAAAGGAAGGAGGGTGCCCAGCTGCAGGGAACAAAAGCCAAGCAGATCCAGTGGCCAGCTCTGGTGAGTCATTCCTCCCAAGATCTTTGAGTCGGAGATGTGCTGTGCATTGAGCTGCAGCTGTGGAGTATTTAAAATGGAACAATAGCTCTGCGGAGGCAATACGACGGGATCCTTTATGTTGCTGGGATGATTTGGGGTTTGGATGTCTCTCAGATCAATGGCTCATGTCTGACAATAAGATCATTATTTGTTTAGAAGGCTTGCTAAAAGACGGAAAATAACAGAGGGTTTGACGTCCTTTAAAAGAGACGGAAAGGCAGTGAGCAAGAGATTAGAAATGTTTCACGGCTCTGACTGTTTTGATTATGTAACGTGAGCAGCAGCACAGCGCCATCTGGGCCAAGCGCACACGATAAAAGAGTTCAAAGTGAAATCCTAGTATGGCACACGGGACGGTTGTCATAGCGCCCACACATGCACAGGCCGACGACCCAGCATGTGTCATGGTGCACTTATCCACACTGAGAACTCGTGAGCGGCCCCTAAGCCCCTTGCTGAGCAACCTGGAAGTTTTTCATATGCATGACATTTGCTAGGCTTGTGTGATTTGTTTTTTTTTCTTTCCCTATTGTGTTTTAACTTTTACTTTGATTAAGCTAAGGTACAAGAGGTTGTGTTGTATTGTGAGTTTAGTCTAAGCTAAAACGCATTGTTAGGCATGACAGACAGCAGCATAACTATATTCGCAATACAGTTGAAGTGGCAACTTCATAATAACAATATTAAGGCCACATTTTCATTAAAACATTATTTTGTTTTGTAAATGTGTGAAACACATGCAATCTAAGGTTACTAGTTGGCCTTTACACATGCTGTGCAAGGATATACACAGTTTTTTTATGTTTTTGAAAGAAGTTTCTTATGCTCACTAAGGCTGCATTTATTTGATCAGTAAAAACAGTGATATTGTGAAAAATGATAACAAAGGAAAAGAAATGTTTTCTATTTGAATATATTTTAAAATGTAATCTGTTGCTGTAATGGCCAAGCTGAGTAGCTGAGCAGTTATTACTCAAGTCTTTAATGACACATGATCCTTCAGAAATTATTCAGATATGCTGCTTTAGTGTTCAAGAAATATTTCTTATTATCAGTTTTGAAAACGGTTTAAGCTTGTTTTTTTTCTTTCTTTATATTGTAACAAGATTTCTACTTTAAGTAAATGCTGTTCATTTTTAACTTTCTATTTATAAAAGAATTTGTTGAGCAATTTCAACTTTTTATGTCAGTTTAATGTAATTTAAGTTGAAATGACTTGTACACAACTTTGCTCAGCACTGGGGTTGTGCAATGTGCTCTGGCTGACTCACTCACGCTGATGATTCCCACAGCTCTCAGCACCAGATCTGTGCGTTTCAAATCATTAGCTGGGCGCTTTCTTTACACACTTTAAAAGTTTTGTGTGCAGGATTGTATTAGTCAACAGATGGACGTTGTCCAGTGCAGGAACTGTTTTTCCAGTTGGAAAACAGCTTCAATAATAGTACCAAACACTCAGTGTGGCTTGTTTTTTAAAAACCAGTTCTCCAGCCTATCATGCTACGCCCCCGGTGAAAGAGGAGACTTTGACCAGCCAGAAACATGCTGTCGTTACAACACGCTGCATATGTTGAAAACATCCAGCAGCTCAAACACATGTTCTCCCACTTGTCTCAGTGTCTCACAAACACATAAACGTCCTGCGCGCCAGCTCCGCTTTGAATCACATGGCAGTGGGTTGTTTCACAGTTGAGGACAATAGCGGGACTGAGACGTAGTTTTAACGCCGTGACTGTGAGGAAGACTGGACATTCAGTGGGTCTGCAGTGACCACGTCTGTCCATGAAATCAAACCAAAATGAGGTCATTTAAGGCCACTGAGCTTCTATGGCTGTGAAATTACACTGAAAGTTATGGAACTGTTTTCTGTAACAGCAAGTTGTTATTTTATTAAAACACTCTGCCAGGAGTTCACAAACTGTTTTGTCACCTGAATCCTTTATATGTCAAATATTTACTTAAATTACCCCGAGATTGACAGTTGATATTTCAAGAATTGAATGACACATTCACATATTCTTGGTTAACTGTTGTTGGTTAATGGTAGAATCAAAGGCAAGTTAATAGATAAATTTTTTATAGTGTTTTAGGAAGCGTTTTATTTAGTTTTTTTTATAGCCAGACTTTAAAGTGGACTCAATCACATTACTTTTACACTGGAGTTTTAGAAAGACAATTAAATTTAATAATAATTATTTTATAATTTAAAATATAAATAATTATTATAATTATAATTTTATAATATAAAAAAAAATTATGCGATTATGTAAATGCAGATATGGAATTCACTGAATTTACTGTGAACAGAGACCACCGAGATGCTGAATACACCGGATCATAAGCTGCTTATGTGTAAATGAACACAGTGCTGCGCTTCACTCTAAAATACACAGTGCATCAGGCTATACCATTATTTAATTAAATTGCAGCCTTTGATTTTATAATCACACTAAGCTATGCTATATCTCAATTATCACACAGCCCCATTTATTTATTTTGTTTGACATTCAATATAATTATTTACTTAGGTTTTTATCAACTCACAAACCCCCAGCAGTTACCTTGGGATGTCCCGTTTGGGAAAATCTGCACTACACTAATGTAAACACATGTCCTCGTAAACACAGTCAATTATGTCTTAAGTCATTGTAAACATTTGGAAGAAATTTCACCGCTATCGAATATGTTGGTGTTGTAGAAACCTTATTTATGAGCATACAAGGTTACATGGGTCAAAAACAATGGAAAAAATGTTTTTAATAATTTTTTATGGCAGGGCCATTGAAATGTTTACCTTATTTATTAGCATACAAGGTTACATGAGACAAAAACATGTAATATTTTTTTATGGCAGAGCCATTTACATTTTTGTCCGGGCAAGTAATGTAGATACACACAGTGTTAGACTCTCTTCCATTTTGTTTTTATTTTGCACTGGAACCACCTGTATAATACATCAAGCAGCTTGTCTGGTAAATATTGGTTGTGCTTAAAAATGTCAGCAGCAAACAACATCAAAGTTGAAATTGTTTGGCAATTACAACATGGTGCACAAACACTTGCTAGATCTTGATGCTTCCCTCATTAGAGTTCAGTGCAGTGGATAACTTTAGTGTGAACCATGTGAAAGTCCTTAATGTTCCATATCAATGCTGTTCCCACACCACTTGTATGCTTGTATGCCTTTTACACCATTAGGTTAACGTAGGCCATGCAGGACGAGTGCTCAGAGTGTGACCCCTTCTCTTTGCTCTTCCTGCAGGTGTACGTTGAGTTTGACGACCTTGAGTGGGATAAGCGGGAGTGGGTCAAGGTGTATGAAGACTTCCAGATCTTTCTGCTGGAACATCAGCTGGTTTGGGTCAAAAGGAAGGAGGGTGCCCAGCTGCAGGGAACAAAAGCCAAGCAGATCCAGTGGCCAGCTCTGGTGAGTCATTCCTCCCAAGATCTTTGAGTCGGAGATGTGCTGTGCATTGAGCTGCAGCTGTGGAGTATTTAAAATGGAACAATAGCTCTGCGGAGGCAATACGACGGGATCCTTTATGTTGCTGGGATGATTTGGGGTTTGGATGTCTCTCAGATCAATGGCTCATGTCTGACAATAAGATCATTATTTGTTTAGAAGGCTTGCTAAAAGACGGAAAATAACAGAGGGTTTGACGTCCTTTAAAAGAGACGGAAAGGCAGTGAGCAAGAGATTAGAAATGTTTCACGGCTCTGACTGTTTTGATTATGTAACGTGAGCAGCAGCACAGCGCCATCTGGGCCAAGCGCACACGATAAAAGAGTTCAAAGTGAAATCCTAGTATGGCACACGGGACGGTTGTCATAGCGCCCACACATGCACAGGCCGACGACCCAGCATGTGTCATGGTGCACTTATCCACACTGAGAACTCGTGAGCGGCCCCTAAGCCCCTTGCTGAGCAACCTGGAAGTTTTTCATATGCATGACATTTGCTAGGCTTGTGTGATTTGTTTTTTTTTCTTTCCCTATTGTGTTTTAACTTTTACTTTGATTAAGCTAAGGTACAAGAGGTTGTGTTGTATTGTGAGTTTAGTCTAAGCTAAAACGCATTGTTAGGCATGACAGACAGCAGCATAACTATATTCGCAATACAGTTGAAGTGGCAACTTCATAATAACAATATTAAGGCCACATTTTCATTAAAACATTATTTTGTTTTGTAAATGTGTGAAACACATGCAATCTAAGGTTACTAGTTGGCCTTTACACATGCTGTGCAAGGATATACACAGTTTTTTTATGTTTTTGAAAGAAGTTTCTTATGCTCACTAAGGCTGCATTTATTTGATCAGTAAAAACAGTGATATTGTGAAAAATGATAACAAAGGAAAATAAATGTTTTCTATTTGAATATATTTTAAAATGTAATCTGTTGCTGTAATGGCCAAGCTGAGTAGCTGAGCAGTTATTACTCAAGTCTTTAATGACACATGATCCTTCAGAAATTATTCAGATATGCTGCTTTAGTGTTCAAGAAATATTTCTTATTATCAGTTTTGAAAACGGTTTAAGCTTGTTTTTTTTCTTTCTTTATATTGTAACAAGATTTCTACTTTAAGTAAATGCTGTTCATTTTTAACTTTCTATTTATAAAAGAATTTGTTGAGCAATTTCAACTTTTTATGTCAGTTTAATGTAATTTAAGTTGAAATGACTTGTACACAACTTAGTTGATTATACCTAAAAATATAAGGCAGCAACTGAACTAGGTGGAAAGTTTTAGTGTGTCACAGATTCCAAAAAATATTAAGCAGCAAAAACAGTTTTAAACATTGATAGTAAGAACCATTATAAAAAATGGAGCACCAGTAATAATTGATAATAATTGAGCAGCAAATCAGCATATTAGAATGATTTCTGAAGGATCATGTGACACTGATGATTGGAGTAAAGATGCTGACAATTTTGCTTTGCCATCATAAAAAATAAATTACATTTTAAAATATATAGAAATATATTGA